CTCTAAGGTTGTACCACCAGATGAGAGGGAACATAATTTTAGCAGAGTCTATCAGTGACCCACCTATATCCCCTGACACTTACCAGTTCAGCATACAAAGACCTGACTTCCAAATGGCAGCACCTGCATTTCTTTGATCCAGGGCTTTTTTGTTGTTACTTGAGCCTGCTGTGTCACCCAAGCGGCAGAACAAAAGGGTGAAGGAATTGGACACAACCAGAAATAATCTTCACCTTGTAACTGATGACCTGCTGTACAAATGCACCAGTTTCCTCACCTCTCAAATTCCTCACCTCTCAGGCATGTATTTTATGCTGGCTCCCCAAGTTTCTCATGGCATAATTAAGCTCCAATCTCTCACAATAGTAAATTGCTTGATAAGAGACTGTTTATTAGCTTTCAAATCAGTGCATTATGTATAGACACTTTATATTTAATGTTTCATCTACTTATCTCCGGAACTCTTTAAGGCAGCAGATCAAAGAGGAATCTGATTCAAAGGTTTAAGAATAACATTAACCTCAAGGCACCAGGCTTACTCAGCCAGAAGACCATGTGACTCCTGATCTCAAGAGTAGTGAGTTCGAGCCCCAGACTGGGTACAGAGATGACTTAAAAAAAAAACTTAAAAAAAAAAATAGTATTAATCTTTGCTCAGGGTCACAGAGCAAGCCATGACTGTAACACAAGGAGGTCCAAAACTTGTGCTGCTTCACCAAAAGAACAGACACAGGGGGTGATTCTGTTCTTATTATAGTATTAGGATTATATCTCAAACCTACAAAAACCCTAAAATCCTATTTTCCTTTCCAAAGGAAAATGGCTTTAAAAATTTTTTCTAATGCACACTAGTCTCTCAACCAAAAGTTATTTTTAAGAGAATTAGTAATGGCATTATGAATTAATCCACTGCCTACATTTTTGAAGGGTAAAGGGGCAAGTCAAATATATATTTTAAAAATATATATATACATATAAAAATATTTATTTATTTATAATAATAATGGTGGGGTGCCTATGTGGCTCAGTCAGTTAAGTGTCTGCCTTCATCTCAGGTCATGATCCCAGGGTTCTGGGATCAAGTCCCAAATTGGGCTCTGTGCTCTGCGGGGAGCCTGCTTCTCCCCTCTCCCTCTGCCTGCTGCTCTCCCTGCTTGTGTGTGTTATCTCTCTCTCTGTGCCCAATTAATAAAATCTTTTAAAAATTTTAAAATAAAAATAAAATAATGGTAATGGTAAGGGCTAATGTGAGTGCTTTCCAATTTCCTAAAACCATTATATTCCTTCACAGCTAAATTTCCTAACCAAAATGAAGGAATTTGTTTTCCTATCAGGGTTTAAAAAAAAAAAAAGGTAATAGAAAACATTTATAATAATATAATCTAAGATTTTTAAGATAAATATAATGTTACTTACCAATTTTTAAAAGTTACAAATGTTAAATATTAAAACAGTCACTTTTAAAAGTCTATATTTTGTCATGTTGTATTTCATTCATTCATTCTTTCATTCCTTCACTGAATACATACTCACACTGGTTCTAAGATGTGTAAGATACATCTTGTGGCCAGTTTAGTACTAGAGACAAAGGAAGAACGTGGGGCAACAAAGTAAAAATAAACTACAGAATGGAAGAAGAAAAGATAAACATATATGGAGAGAAATTTCATAGATTGCCAAACCTAATTTTTCTATCTTCAAAACTGCATACTCAAATACAGAAAAATTCATTTAGTCAACAAATTAAAACACACACACACACACACACACACACACACACACACTAAAAAGCAGACAACGCAAAGTAGTGGGTATGCAATGACAGAAAAGTAGTATTGGTTCTTCAGTTAATTAAAATTAAGTTGAAGTCAACTGTAGTACTTGCCATTGTAGACCTTAAAATTAAATTGAGAAGTCTATTCATATTCAGTAGAGATAATGAAAATTTAATTGTGTTAGCACTCACTTAAAAATTTAGGTCCACAAAATGTATATTTTTACCTATTTTATATTTAAGGCTTAATTCTGAACTTCATTCATTAAAAATATTCATCTACATTTGAAAAGCCAATTTCTAAAAATGTAAAGAAAAATAATCTTAAAAAAATAAACTTAAAAAAACTTATATCAGAATAAATGTATTCAATTATTGAATGAACTTAACCTGAAACAGAATTCCAGTTTAAAAAAAACAGAAACCATTTTTTCATTCATATCAAAAGATACAAATACTTAAAAGTTGTGTTATTCTCAAAATTCAGTAAGCATCAAAATTAATAAAATGTTAAGAAACAATCTTTCCCACAAGAAATCTAGTCACATTAGTAAAAATATTGAAAATAAAGTTAATATCCAATTTTGCAGGAGGTATATAAAATCAAGAAATGCAAATAGAGTTCAAATAGTAAAAAAACACAAAAACCTAAACAATCAGTGAACTAAAGAATTTGAAGTTATATGAATTTTGTATTACTGATTTGAATTGATCAGATGAGTGTAACCTGAGAATCTAAAAATACAGATATGAGCCTTAACAACTAAGGCATCCTAATATTAAATGGTCAATAATGCAAGAGGCTAAAAATATATATCTTAATATTAAACTTCTTAGATTCATTATTTTCCTAAAGCATGTCTGGTGTTCCTGAGCCTTCCAACTGATTAAACAAAAAAGAAAGATAGAATGAGAAATAAACTTTCCAAGCCTGAACCTAATTTTTTTTCCAGGCTACTTTACTTCAGCTTTCATCAATAAACTGGCAAAACTGACAAGAAAAGAAATGAGATGTATATTGCTTGATCCTTTGTATAAAAAAATTAATACTTTGACTCTTCCTATTTGTGTATGTTTCACCTAAATGTCCAAAATTAGTGTTCTCTGAATAAATTCAAGGAGTAAATGCAAATCTTAAAATGTCTTGGCCAATCAGTAATTATATGCTTGGTATATAAGATTTGTTTTAAGGTTTAAAATGTGGTTTCCATCCTTACTAGGTGTTGGGTTATTAAGACTAATACATATATTAGCAAATCATATAGGACAAAATATGATTTAATGATAAACTGTATGGCAGATTAAGTACTATAGGAAATCAATGAAAGAAAATCCTAATGAAGGTCAAAAGAGTCTAGGAAGACATGATTTTTTGATTTTTATTTCTAGCTTAAAAGAGACAAACTTGCCCAATGGCTATACTCAACAACAAAAGGTAAGTAATTTACTAAATTTACCTACTAAATTTTATTAAATTGAACTTCTTCAAAAAGCATTATTAACATAAAAATCGATAAATTTCTGGACTTCTTTCAGAGCACATGTGCTTAATAATTCTTGTGGCTTTAAGCATCAATGAATGATACGTTGATAAAGCCCAATAGCAAGAACATTGGTTTGAAGGCTTCCACACATGGACAACAAACCTAGCTCCATCAATTATTTAGCTTTTTGACCATGGGCAAGTTACTTAGCCATGCAAAGACTATTTCTTCTTAAATTAAATAAGGATAACAATAATCATCACCTCCCATGGTTGTTGAAAGGATTAAATAATATATCATATGTGAATATCACAATGCCAGTCAGAAAAAAATATGTGCTCAATATTAGCTCCTATATTCAAACACATTTCAAACATAGTGATAACAGAAAACCAAAAGACTAGAATGCCCACTCTGTTTTACATTTTATTCTTTACCATAGAAACTGATATACTGACCTTCTATTTATTAGTAAAAATTAACATGTTCAGCTTCTAATTCTGTAATAATTCTCACTCATCTTTCGCAATCTGATAAAAATGATGGACTTTTTCCTCCCAAAATACATACACAGTATTTTGCCTCAAGTTAGGGACATTAACAGATTCCCTAAAGCTAGATTAAAAACTGTTATCTGGCTATTTAAAAAAATGTAATTCAAATTAAACAAAGTTTAAAAATTCAGTTCCTCAGTTACATTGGCCACATTTCAAGTGCTCAATAGCCATATGAGGCTATGTGGTAATACAGATACAGAACATTTTTATCATCTCAGAAAACTTCTATCAGATAGGGCTATTCTGGAGTATTAACACAGCGTGTTACATAAAACTACTTTATCTCTGTTTTTGTTTTTGTTTTAGTTTTGAAGTAGATTCTCAATAGAGACTGTGGATATTTTCCCCACAACCAAGTTCCCAAGGTCCAGCACATAATAAGCATTCAATAGGTATCTAATAGCTAACATTTTTTTGCTTTGGTTATAGTAATTCATCAAAAATTGATGGTGAAGGGGCGCCTGGGTGGCTCAGTGGGTTAAGCCGCTGCCTTCAGCTCAGGTCATGATCTCAGGTTCCTGGGATCGAGTCCCGCATCGGGCTCTCTGCTCGGCAGGGAGCCTGCTTCCCTCTCTCTCTCTCTCTGCCTGCCTCTCTGTCTAGTTGTGATCTCTCTCTGTCAAATAAATAAATAAATCTTTAAAAAAAAAAAAAAAAATTGATGGTGAAGACCTGAGCTGAAAGAACTCGACAAGTATATAAATACAAGTATATAAATACTTTGTTTAAAAAAAAAAAAGCAGATCAACTTATATATACTCTCAACTGATAACTTCTAAAGCCTAAAACCAATATGGGCTCCCCAATGTACAGACTAAATTTTTTGCATTTTGGTTACACATATTGGCTAAAAATCTTAAGCCTTGTCTATAGCCTATTCTATTCAAGAAGGGGAAAATGCTTACTTCTAGCTAAAGAAGTATTATTACCCCTATATGGTTTTTCATTATCCCTATACAGTTTTTTCCTGGATAGAACAGTTGGATAACTTATTCTTAAATATTATGTACATATTCACACACAGTAGCTTAACAAAATATTTTTAAAATTCACCAAATTTTATACCTTAAAGATTATGGCATTAAAATTTTAGAAAACCTATTTCCTTTTCATGTATCATGAATCAAGACAAAACTGCTGCTATACACAGAACAGTAAAAGGTCTAATAATAATCTTGCACTTACACGGCCACATTTTTTCTAATGGTATACTCATCCAAATCGTCATCAGAGCTGCTATCAGTTGCATCAGAATCCAGACCTTCTTCAACATGAGACAACAGCCCTGTAGCAGACAGTGCAAATCTTTGGATTTCTGCAGCTGTACACCGTGCAAAGCCATTTTTCGTATCCCTCCACAACTTATTCTCCGCAGTCAACATGTTGACTTCTGGATTAATTTCAGTGCAATTAGGTAAACTGCTATCCAAAACTGTGGTAGGTTCATGAAAGATCTTCATTTGGGGGAGTTGATGTTTCAGAGAAAATTTCATTTGTTGACCATAGTGCTTAACAACATGCTTTGCCAGAAGCATCTGCAAATGTTTCTGAGTTCTTCTAGCCTGGCTAAGTAAAATTTTCTGTTTACTTACACAATGAAGTAAACGAGCGTTCACTTCCTCCTCTTTTTCAGCAACTGAGAGACTAATAGGCACATTGGAGTGGCCAGGCCCAATTTTCTTTTGAGTACAGTGCAATAAACCCTTTTTAATTTCAGCATCAGTAACTTTATCCAAAAGTGCACTCTTTTGGTACCATTTGCAGTTTTGCAGTTGTACTTTCTCTACATTAGTGTCTTTGGTTATATTTGAATCCAAAATAATTTGTACATCTGTCATGCACTGGCTTGTGGTATCTGACAGCAGTTCCTTTTTGATGAACTCTTCAGAATGAGAATGACAGATTTTACTAAGCTGAATGTTGCTGCCATTACACAGTATGTTTTTCAGCTTATTGCAGTTAGGTTCCCCTAATTTCCTTTGTTTGTAACTCTCACTGTATTTATTTAATGCAGAATTAGAGCTCATTAAAAGAACGGTCTGATAATGTTTTGAAGACTGAGAGGAGCCAAAATGTTTTAAATTCACAAAGTTAGTGTTAAGAGTAGGTTCAGGAGTTGGAAATCCCAGCATCTGAGACAAAGTGTCTCCCTTGAGCTTTTCATCTACAGTTCTTGCACTTTCCATGCATAGCATCTTGTCGGACTCCATGGTACTTGATATAGATGAAAAGCAGATACCCTTTGTTGCTGCCTCCCTCAGAGCTGGGGTCATGGCGAATCCTGCAGATAATTACTGGAAACCTAAAATAATGTAAAAATAAATGATCAAATATCTAGAAAAAAGGTTTATGCTTACACTTTTACCAAGGGCAACATTTTTAATGTTTCTGATTAAAATGTGAATGGAACCAAACTCCTCCTTTATTTCCCAACTCCTAAAAATATCTATGTTCTTTCCTAATTCATAAGGAATTCAACAAAGACTAAACTATTCTTCACTCTGACTGTGGGCCCAATACCAAAAACTCCAATTAAAAGTGCACACAAACTACCTAGAACAGTAAGTATTAGACAAATACTTGTGGATGTATTGCGATTATATTTCAAGATTCCTTTTTCTCCTTTTTTTTTTTCCTGGATAATGTTTAGTGAAAAGCAAAAGAAAAAAATTCCAACCTGAAATCTGGAAATTAAAATATTTGAAAATGTGACTCAATCCCATGCCTTCAGCCAAAGTAAGAACTACTTATCTCTATAAAAGCTGCTCAAAACCTCCATTTCTCAAATTTCACAATCTGAATAGTATAAATATTAACTAAAATAAGTTAAATAATGTAAAAAGATGTAAGTAACTGAACTACAAGCAAAAAAGTATAACTTCAACTGTTAAAAATAATATTGCAAAAACTTGCTAAATCTTCAACACAAAAAAGTTTTCTGTGAAAAAATCTGCAATAATTTTTTTCCCTTTCCACAAACAGATAAGTGTAAGTTATCCTTATAAAAGCTATTACTCCTGCCTGGAAAATAGTGGGGACTATAACAAATGACTGCTAAAGATTTATCCCATAATTAAACAAACTCCATTATATTTTATCAAAAGAAAAGGCGTAAGGCCATACAGTCGATTCATTGAAAAAGCTAACCTTCTACCACTGAAAATGTTGAAGGCTAAATAGTGAAAAAAAATGTATACCATTAATAATTATGATACTCTAGATACTCTAGAATGATACTCCATAATTTTTGTTTCGACACATGACAATTAATAGTCATTTAAATGCCCATACTCCCATTCTGTATGTCCCCAGGTGCTAATTGTAACTCTATAACCTTCATTTTTATGTGAAAACACAAAACCAAAAGGGGACTGCTTACAAAGACTAGCAAGAATGATAAAAGAGGAAAAAGTTACAAAGGCTTCAATGCAGTTAGAAAAGAAAAATACACAGTGTTAAAAGCAAGTTATAGAAAGAAGACTTTGGCAATATATATAATAAAAAAGAATTCATACCAGAATACATAAAGAACTCCTACAAATGAGCAAACTGGTCAGGCACATCACAGATGACATCCAAAAGATCACTAACATATACTCAATCTTATTAGTAATGAAGGAATTCTAGATTAATAATGTAAGAGACTAGTTTTCCAATCACTAAATTGAAAACAATGTTTTAGGGGCTCAGTTGGTTAAGCATTTGCCTTCAACCCAGGTCACAGAGTTGGGGGTCCTGGGACAGAGCCCTGCATTGGGCTCCCTGCTCAATGGGGAGTCTGCTTCTCCCTCTCCCTCTGCCCCTCCACCCCACTCATGCTTTGTCGCTCTCTCTCCTCTCAAATAAAACTTAAAAAGAAAATCATGTTCTAAGTCTGAAATACCACTTATGATAATGCAGTAAGATTTCTCACATCTATTTGGACTATAAGTTGATTCAGCACTTGACAATAATGTAGAAAATGTATTTGTCAGGGTGCCTGGGTGGCTCAGTCATTAAGCATCTGCCTTCGGCTCAGGTCATAATGTCAAGTCCTGGGATCGAGCCCCACATCGGGCTCTCTGCTCCGCAGAAAGTCCACTTCTCCCTCTCCCATCCCCTCTGCTTGTGTTCACTCTCTCTGTCAAATAAATAAATAAATAAAATCTTAAAAAAAAAAAATGTATTTGTCATAGGTGCATAAGATAGCACTATTTGTAACAGCAAGAGAATGGATAATAAAACATGACGGAATACTATCCAGCAGCTAAAAAGAATGACCTAACTCTATATATACATACAAATATGGACAAACCTCAAAAAGAATATAAAGTTTTTTTTAATGGTACAGTATGCTACCAAATAAATAAAATACAAACACAAGCTCTCTTTGCTCCATCTACTGTGAGAATAATGATCATTCTCAGCCATCAGACTGTCAACATTCCAGAAAATGTCAATATTGCTCTGAAGAGACACACTGTTATTGTGAAGGGTCCCAGAGCATTACTACAGAACTCAATCTCAGGGCACCTGGGTGGCTCAACTGGTTAAGTGCCTGCCTTTGGCTCAAGTCATGATCTCCAGGTCCTGGGATCAAGTCCCACATAGGGCTCCCTGCTCAGCGGGGAGTCTGCTTCTCTCTTTCCCTCTCTCTCTGTCCCTCTCCACTGCTCCTTCTAATTTTTAAAAATTAAAAAAAAGAAACTCAATCTCCTTGGAAAGATAAAGAAGAGGTTCCAAGATGACAAATAGTGGGGAAACAGAAAAGAACTGGCAATTGTTCACACTATCTACAGTCATGTACAGAACATTAGCAAGGGCATTACACTGAACTTCTACCACAAGATGAGGTCTGTGTATGCCCATTTTCCCCATCAACATTGCTATTCAAAAGAATGGTTCTCCTGTCAAAAATGAAAATTTCTTGGGTGAAAAATTCATCCTCAGAGTTTGGATGAGGCCAAGTATTGCTTGTTCAGTATCTCAAGTCCAGAAAGATGACTTAATTCTTGAAGTAACACCGAACTTGTATCAAACTCAGCTGTTTTGATTCAGCAAGCCACAACAGTTAAAAACAAAGATATCAGAAAATTTTTGGATGTTTTCCATGCTTCTCAAAAAGGAACAATTTAGCAGGCTGATGAATAAGATCTAGTTGTCCAGCTACAGAAACAGCAGTATACTGGATGATTTTTCAGACTTATTTGTGGCTATTTCAAAGATTCAATAAAACCTCTATTGACTTGGAAAAAAAAATACAAATACAAGACCACACCACATACATGTGCATGTGTCTTTATGTGTTTGCAAGAATAAAAAATGAACCAGGGGTACCTGGATGGCTCAGTGGGTTAAGCCTCTGCCTTCGGCTCAGGTCATGTGATCTCAGGGTCCTGGGATCAAGCCCCACATCAGGCTCTCTGCTCAGCTTGGGGCCTGCTTCCCCCCCTCTCTCTGTCTGCCTCTCTGCCTACTTGTGATCTATCTCTCTCTCTCTCAAATAAAAAAAAATAAAAATAAAAAAAAAAAAAGAACCAGAAAAACACCTGCCAGATTTGTAATAGTAGTTGCACATCAGGTAAGTTCTAAAACAGAACAAAGAGTGATGGTTTAAGAGAAGCTGAGTTTCAACTACAGACTTTATTACCTGGGTGAAAAAGACTTAAATGCAAAATGAACAAATGTTAATGGTTATTAATTCTGTGTGATAAAAATATAAATGTTTGGGGGTACCTGGCTAGCTCAATCAGTAAAGCATGCAACTCTTGATCTCAAGGTCGTGAGCTCAAGCCCCATGATGGGCATAGAACTGACTTAAAAATATAGAGAGATGTTTGCCTTTTTTATACTCAAAAAAAGAAGTAGAGATTTCTGTATAATTCTCTCCCCAAAATCTGTATATCTCAAAATTTTCTAACTTTATGAGAAATATTCTATTATTTTCTACTCAATAAACATCTACAATAGTATTTAGATATTTATTTGCTTCCTAAGGAAAACTGTGTTAATCACAGATGAGGTAGGCGTATTTAAAAGACACTATACTCTATCCCCTCCCTACCCACCTTCCCTCTCCCAAAAATCTGAACAAGGCTTTAGGGACATATTCAAAGTGGATAACAGCAGGGGCAGAAGGTAAAATATCATGAGGTAGCAGAGTTCATCTTAGTCCTGCATAAACTAAATTTAAGGGAAAACTAAAAATAAGAGGCATAAATAAATAAATAAATAAATATTAATTAAGAACGTTAATTAGTAGCCAAAAATTATGTACATTTACCTGGTTTAGGGGCATTTATGGTAGAGAACTAGAATAAAACACACACAAAAAACTCTGGTGAGATCTCTAGGGCTTACTTGGTATGATAGGAAGTTTCTAAAATGATCTTAATAATCCCCATATCCTGGTATTCATGCCCTTGTGTAATCCTTTCCTCCTGAGTATGGACTGGATTTGCTAACTTGCTTCTAGCAAACAGAATGCAGGAAAGGTAATGGGATATCACTTCTGAGATTAGGTTACAAAGAGGCTGTGGCTTCCATCTTGTCACCCTCTCTCACTCTGGGATGCCATACTGTGAGTGGGAAGACCCACATAGCAAAGAACTCCTGTCTCTGGCCAACAGTCAGCAACTACCTAAAGCCTGACAAAAGTTAAGTGAGCAATGTGAGAAGCAGATCCTTCCCCAGTCGAGCCTTCAGATGACAGAAGCCCCAGCCAACACACTGACTGTAGCCTTGTGTCAAGTCCTGAGCCAGAAGCACCCAGCTAAGCCATGCTTAGATTCCTGACCCACAGAAGCTGTGAAATAAAGACATTAAATTGGGGGCCCATTTGTTACATTGCAATAGATAACTAATACACTTGGATATGAAGACTTTTGAGTTCTAGTCTCTGGAAAGCCCATCCATTTTCTAGTTCCAGTACTAGGATACCATGAAGTTCCTCTATATTATATTCCCAAGTGTATCCTTATAAAAATTTCAGCCTGAAAGTCTTTCTACATTACAATCAAAAGAAACTCATGAATCCTGATGTCTCCTATAAATAAGAGATTAAATTATGTTCATATAGTCTTTCTTTTATGTGATATAACATGATGATTGATTTTCAAATATTGAATCACCCTTGTATCCCTGGAATAAATCCCATTTAATGTTTAGTTTTATCATTAAACATAGTGCATTATCCTAATTTTTTAAAAATTATTGAAATATGTGATAATTACATATAACAAAGTATCCTGATTTCTCTAAACTCTACCATTTCTGACTTCTTCCATATTACATACACTACACTTAACATTAACATTTCTAAAG